GGGGGGTTATAATCCAACCAAAGCAGAAGCATTAGTCTTGGTTACTTCAGAATGCAGTATGTACAGTGTAAGTCAAGTAGTCATATTATAAAAGTAAAATAAGAAGGGCTGGAGTGTGGTGAATTTTTTCCAGTTGCAATGAAGAATAATTAGCTGCTGCTTCCTATCTGAGAGTTCTGCTCCCTCTCATTTCTGCAAATACATTATTATTTTGTCCACGCAATATATTCAGTAGAGCTTCTGTCATATCAACAGACAAGCTTTCTGTGCAGGTTTGAAAACAGGGCTACTGCTTTCAATTTAAAGTAGGAACAAAAAGTGCCGATTTCTTTCTTAGGTATGTTTAAATCACATTGGGTATGTGGATCCCCTTCTTCACCTAGTACTTTGAGACCAACTGAAACATTTGTTCAGGTAAACCTAGCTCAAACCTAAGCAAGAAGGCCTTCCAGCATCTGTCTAGTCAGCAAACCTTTACTGGGTGCTAGCAGCTCTGTGCCAGGTCCTCAAGGTGTGCCGGGTCCTCAGGTGCTGGGCAGGCCCAGGCCCTCACTCCTTCCTTCTGGCTAACCCCCCGGATCCCTCCCTCTGCCCTCAGCACAATGGTGAGGAGGCTTGCTGTGCCCGGATGGCAGGGCGTGCTTTAAGGATCCCTGCATATGTGTCTCGCTTTTCAGTAACTTGCAAAATTCTGCCACCCACATGCCTAATTTCAGCTCTCCTTGGATATGGTTACAGTTTTAAAGCTCTTTCAGATGCTATTCCTTTCAATTTTGTAAACCAGTGTATTTCATTTTTTAGGCAGTGCTTTTACATGAAGACAAAAAGAAACAAAAAGCAGCTATATTTTTGAGTCCCCAGTCAGGTATGTGGGTTGAAAACAACAAATGTGTGTTCTTTTACTTACTGCATAGTTTCCACATGCCTTTTGAGACACTTCTTTTGAATAAGTCGTTTTAACAGGGATTGGACATCAGAATCACTTGGGGAACTTTTAAAAATATAGTTACCCTGCCCCTCCTTCATCTCCTAAATCAGATTCTTCAAGGATTAGGCTTGGGCCTGTGTATTTTTTTAATTTATAGGTGATTCTTATACCATCCCTGAGAAGGAACCATAGTCTTAAATTATTTGTTCCTCTTCCATGCTTTTTGTTTCTGCGCTGAAATTGCCACTGTGTTGTCAACAGTGTAATCTCTTCATGGAGATTGTTCACTGCACCAAAGTAAGGAAAGAAAGTAATTATTGGTCTCAACTCCTCTCTCTCTCTCTCTCTCTCACTAAGTCATTTATTCATTCCTTCAGCAAATATTTAAGGCCCACACCCACCCACTGAGGATACAGCATAGCCCCTTCTCTCATTCTAGTCAGAGGAGATACATAAACATTTCGTGTGGTGACAGGTGCTAAGAAATATAAAGCAGGAAAAGGGAAACAGAATGTTGGAGAGGGAGGTGGCCTTTCTTATAAAGTAACTTTTAAATTTAAGCAAAGAATCAAGGAAGGGGCAAGTCAGTGGGAAATAGGAGTTCGACTGTTACAGCAGAACCAAAAACAGTTTTTGTCCTCCAAAATTATTGGGGAAGGAGCAGGAAAGGGTGGTAATGAGCAGGAAAGGGTGAGGTCAGGGTAGATGGGTCTGGATCATGTAGCACCTTTCGATGACGTTAAGTGAGGACTTTTACTATATTTTGAAGGTGGCATCTTCAAACATAATTTCTGAGGGTTGGATGACAAAGTATAAATCAGAGATGCCACTATGATATTTGGCCTGAGCAACCAGAAGAATAGAGGTTGAATTTTCTCTGCTTGGAGAGCGTATTGGGGGGAGAAAGAGAGTTTAGTTTTAGAAACCTAAGTTTAAGAAACTGACTAGATATCTAGGTAGAGATGCCAAGTAGCCAATTGGATATACAGCCTGGCCTTTAGAGCAGGAGATTTAAATTTTAATATCAGTGTAATTGTTGATAGAAATTTTAATATCAGTGTAACTGTACTTAGGCCTGGTCTGAGTGAGATCACCTAGAAAGTAAATGCAGATAGAAAAGAAAAGCATTTAGATGCTCAGGTGGAAAATAAAGGAAACAGAAAAAATGGTCAGTGAGAGAGCAGAAGCAGCAATAGAGCTGGGTCCTGCCCTAACCGGTTTGGCTCAGTGGATGGAGCGTCAGCCTGTGGACTGAAAGGTCCCAGGTTCGATTCCGGTCAAGGGCATGTACCTGGGTTGCGGGCACATCCCCGGTAGGAGATGTGCAGGAGGCAGCTGATCAGTGTTTCTCTCTCATCGATGTTTCTAACTCTCTATCCCTCTCCCTTCCTCTCTGTAAAAAATCAATAAAATACATTTTTTTAAAAAGAGAGAGAGAGAGAGAGAGAGAGAGCTGGGTCCTGGAATTCAAATGGAGGAAGTTCCTCAAAGAGAAGGGAATTGTGTGAGTTGCTGCTCATAGGTCTGCTGCAGCTGTAGACTGAGAATTAAGCACTGGACTTGCCAATGCAGAAGTCACTGGTGACTTTGAAAAGAGCTGTTTCTTTGGCATGCGAGGGAGAAAAACCTGATTACAAGGAGTTCTGGTGAGAAATGCTGGGAGAGGAATTGTAGGCAACGTGACTTCGGCTGTGGGCACAAAGTGTCAGGTCCCCAGGTCTATGGACAGGTGCTGAAAGGGAGGGGACACTGGAAGGCTCTGCAGGCCTTTTTCAATAGTGCTTTTGAGTCTTGAAACAGAAGGGAGGAAATTGAAGCAGAAAAGAAAAATAAAGTAACTTAACATACTAGCTTTTTCAGCTTTTTTGGTACAAAAGGATGAAACTATAAATTTGATACAAACATTCTGACTTATGGTCTGTTGATATTCTTAGTAACTTTGCTTAAAAGTGCCTGTCTTTCACCGCTCCCCTTTCCTCTCTCCTCTCACCCTCTCTCATCTTGTCCAATAAAGTGGTTTTAAAGGAGGGAAATTATATAAGCATGTATAGTCTTTTGAACTTGATTGTATAATTTATGAGAAAATTTGGAAATTTTAAAACTTCATTAATGTAACCTGAGATTTTTGTTTGTCATGTCAGCCCACATTTTGTATGCTCAGTTTGTACATATCATGTTATTGCTAATGCCTGTGTTAGTTACAGAGTGTGACGGGTCTAAGCCAGTGGTTCTCAACCTCCTGGCCCTTTAAATACAGTTCCTCATGTTGTGACCCAACCATAAAATTTTTTCCATTGCTACTTCATAACTGTAATGTTGCTACTGTTATGAATCGTAATGCAAATATCTGATTTGCAGGATGGTTTTAGGCGACCCCTGTGAAAGGGTCGTTCGACCGCCAAAGGGGTCGTGACCCACAGGTTGAGAACCGCTGGACTCTAAGCTGTCTCCCATAAATGTCAGTTATGGAGAAGTAGCACTCTCAGATGCTCAGCAGCCTCCTAAATCCTGAAGTAAAGAGAGCTCTTCCCTGGTCCACCAGCTGGTGCCAGTGCACAGTGATCTCACCTGGGAAGGCTAAGAAAACTCCAGCAAGGAATGTTTGGTTGTCTCTACTTTGAATGTTAACGGGAGAAAAGCGCCAAGGTCAATTATCTCATATAAAATAATCTAAAAAGAAATAGGCATTTATTTTTATGATCTGTGAACTTGACTGGTGGTGGGGGGTTTTTTTTGTTTTTTAATATATTTTATTGATTTTTTACAGAGAGGAAGGGGGAGGGCAAGAGAGTTAGAAACATCGATGAGAGAGAAGCATCAATCAGCTGCCTCCTGCACACCCCCTACTGGGGATGTGCCTGCAACCAAGGTACACGCCCTTGACTGGAATCGAACCCGGGACCCTTAAGTCCACAGGCCACCGCTCTATCCACTGAGCCAAACCAGTCAGGGCACTGGTGGTGGGTTTTTTAATAGCATCAGACCTTTTTACACTCAAGATTTCAAAGGCATGGGGATTGAGGTTGACATACCGAGTGAGGTCAGATGATTCAAAGAGAAGCACAAAGCTTCAAAGAATTGCCACCCTTACCCAAAAGGGAACTGGAATGCATGAAACGTAAGGACACAAGAGGATCAGTGAGGAAATTCAGGAGCAGCTGTTTACTGGGAAGGTTTTATAATTGTTCTCAGTAGAATGCATGGACTTATAAACCAAAAAAATACTACTGGGAAAGCCCCCAAAATCAAATAGAAGTGAAATGAGAATAGAGTCTATTGTGAGATGATTGACAATGAGAGCAGCCATGAAAGAAGGATAAGGAAGTTGACAGGCTGTCCCTGGAAGCAACTTTGATTCAACAAATGAAAGCCTGTTCGAAACAGACTCACCCACAGTTAGGGGCTGTTTCTCATAGATCCTCTGGGTTTGAGGGTCACAAGGTTAGCATATGTAAACAAGCCAAGAGTTGTTTTTACAAGGGTCAGCCCTAAACAAACATTTCCAGAACATGGTACACAGGAAATATACTGATTCTTGCTTAGTTTAGATGTCCTTTTGGCCAAAGATGAAATGTCTTAAGAATATTGGCTCTGCAATCAGATTGCATGGTATATTTTCTAGCTTTGTCATCTTGAAACACCTACTTAGCCTCCACTTGCCTCAGTTTTCTTATCTGTTCTAAGGGATGATAAGAGTAATACCTGACTTGTAGGGATGTTGAGAAATCCATGTCAAAGCACTTAGAGCAGCGCCTGCATACAGCAAGAAGAACAGCGGTTTGTGGTGGGTGGTGATCATTGGTATTTCTGCAGGGCTATGCCAACATTGCTCCTGCTAAAGGCTTTACACATCTTGAAAGTAGAATTTTATTATAATTTTTTTAAGTGCTGGAGGAATACAGATGTTAGACATTATAAAAAATGGCATTACTGATTGGCAATAAGTTAGGATTTCTGTAATTATCTTCTAAGTAAGAAAATGGCACTTATAAATCTTTTGAGCAACTGTAAAACTTAAATTTACTACAGAAAAAAAAATTAATGTAATGCCAGAAAAAAACAAATAACAGTTATAGGTAGCTAAAATCTATCCTTTCCAAAAAAAAAAATAAACTCTTCAAGTAAGTATATGATAGCTGTTAAGACTGTCAAACTTATCCATGATAAACTTACCCAAATTATATATGTTGTTATGAATGTGAAATGTCTCAATTATATGTAGTGTTAAATTTCCCCAAAGCTCTTCCTTCTCACCAGAGCCTGTTGATGGACAGCCACTGCTCTAACACATTAGCTGTGTGTTGACCTTAGGCAAGAGGTTAGCTTCTCTAAGTTCCAGATGTCTCATGTATAAAATTGCAGTAGCACCATTTATCTCGCTGGGTGCTGAGAAGATGCACCCAGATTATAGTAAACACTCAGCCACATTCCCTGTCCTCTCCTAATACCTGTCTCCATTCTTTTTTTCTTCTTTTTTTTAATATATATTTTATTGATTTCAGAGAGGAAGGGAGAGGGAGAGAGAAAGAGAAAAACATCAGTGATGAGAGAGATTCATTGATTGGCTGCCTCCTTCCTGCACACCCCATACTGGGGAACAAACCCACAACCCAGGCATGTGCCCTGACCGAGAATCCAACCGTGACCTCCTGGATCATAGGTTCATGTTTAACTACTGAGCCACGCCAGCCGGGCCATTCTTTTCCATATGGCTACATATACTTCTTACCTCCTAAACTAGATAGTATTGAATAGAAAATTTCATGAATTTCCTTGCTCTTCGTTGTTGTTATTTCCCTCCCCCGCATACACACAGACAACACAATGCCTTAGATGTTCTGTAAATTGTATTGACTAGAGGTATACTCACTTTGAAGGAACAATAGAGTGCGGAATGGCTAAGAACATGAGCTTTTAAAGTCAGACATACTTGAGTTTGAAATCCAGCCCAACTATTTACTGGCTGTGTCACCTCAGCAAGTTTTGAACCTCTCTCTGCCTCAGTTTCCTTATCAATTAATTGGAACTAGCACCTTACAGGGCAATAAGGATTAATTTCATATATGTAAAGCCCATAGCACAGTATCGGGCACATACCACTCAATAAATTATCACTGTTCTTATTACTGTAATTAACAGGAAGTACCAACCTTGCTGTAATTTATCTTACAGGACAAATTTCTTAAGAGTATTTGGAGATTAGAGAATCGTGGTTATAAACTGACTCTTTTGCATAAGTTAATTACTCTGACATAATTACATATAACAGTTTATTCAGTCTGTGAATCTCAAGAACCTAACATATTTCTGATCCTTAATCCTCCCCCATTTTTTAAAGGAAATTACTTTTCTAAAGGAACTATCTGTTTCTTCATGTATTCCACTTTAATCCCATGGTCTGAAATCTCAAAAATTAAAGATGCTGTAAATAGATTAATGGGTATCTTTTCCCCCTCATGATGATGTGTACTTATATAACTTTTTTCTTTTTGATATATATTTATTGATTTCAGA